AGCATGTATTGTCGAAAGAAATGTGAAAATGCTCGTATCTTAAGAGAAAATGCGCAATCTACAAAAGGACGTACGTTGATACGAAATGGAAACCGATGTTGCGTAAATCAGTCTTCCTCATCGGTTAGTCAGCAAACGAATATTAGAGTAGTTCCTAATGAAATTGAACTTGCTGTTCTTTGTCCTTCATCTCCAATTACAACTAATCCACATTTGGATACGAAGGTGTGTAAATATTAATATTTATCTATCGTCTATTCGTACACGAAATATTATATAAAAATTCATTGTTTCAGGGTGGAAAATCTAACGGAATTCTTGAATCTTATGCAAAAGAACCTTTACTACCGTCATGGGAAGTAAACGGGGACCCTAAAGATATTCAAATAACACAAAATTCGCAGGTACGAATAGGTCTAGACTCTAATTCGAATAACATAAATAATTTTAAAAATATGTTGTTGTAACGAAACATGCATTTTACAATTTAGTATAAATCTAAGGACAGCGTTGTCATAAACAAAGAAAATCAAGAACAAGAATCGGAACCAGATTTGGAAGGCACACAACTCACAATGGTCAATTGTACTTTAGGCAGTAGCAGTAGCAGTTTAAATAATAATTCGGGATGTTTAGATGGTGGCACATCCCTATCAAAATCTATGTGTATATCTGTTCCAGCACTTGGACCAAATGGATGAAAGCATTAGGCAATATATTTGAGTGTTCACATTTTTCTCCTATGCTAATGTGCAACAGGTAGGGTGCAAAAGTTTTTCTGCGACTTGAGTCAGTTGACTGCAACATGTATATACATGTGTATACACGTACGCGTACATATAAATTAAAAGTAACAAGAATGGAATTCTCAATGAAGTAAAAGCAATGCAAGTTACTATACTTTACAAGTTTCACGTGGTATACGCTTGTAAACGAAATACTAATGCATACATAAGTTATGTAAATAATGGTGTCGAGAAAGTGTGTCGAATCTGAACACTTCAGTTGTTATCTTGTATATAATTTTCTGAAGCAAGTTATTTCTATCAAAAACAACACAGTATCCTCGTATTAACGACGCAGTAAGGATTCATGAAAATTCCTAGATTTCATTTAATAGAAAATGATACTGTGGTACAAATGATACTTAATATTCTTTAGATAACTTGCTCCTATATATGTATTGAGTTGATACCTGTGAAAAGGTAAAAAAATATGAAACAAAATGAATGAATCGGTGGTCTAGCAAGAAGATATTCGATGCTTCTGTACATAGGATAACTATTAACTGTGAATATGTTTATAAAGTATCATGTTTCGAATAATAGCGAAAGATAAGTAAATATGCATTCCTTTACACTGGGAAGGGCAAAATTATTAAATATCCGGGTACAGGTATGGCCTAATGATATATCGTACATATATTTCAAAAATGAAACAGCTCAAAACACTTGATTCTTGAATAACATCTATAATACAAACGAGTTAGATAGTCATAACTTCAAAATTTCTCTCGCTTATATCGCTCGTTATATCTTAAATAAAATTATACGACCTTGTATAAAAGTGACCCTTTGTTAAATGTAGTTTTCTTTTTTGTTAATATTATTTGTACTCTAAATAGTTTTCTGCAAAGCTCGCAAACAATTTTTTTGTCTCTTCTAAAAAACCTACTTGTTTGAGTTATCTCATTTTTGAAATACATGTACGATATGTATTGCTTTTCAAGAGAGCAATAGTATTGATCATTCCACATTCGTTAAGTTTTCCATTAGTTAAATCTAAATTAATAATGAAAAGTTTTATGTTATAAGAAAAAAGTACTACTCAGATCTTTTTACACATCTAAAGTATAATACATATTTGCTTTTAATTACAAATACTGCAACATAATACATACGTAACATTTAAAATGTTGGCAAACATTTACTCCATTAAAGGATAAAACGTTATAACACATTTTTGAAAAAAAGTGATTACAATGATCATATTAATTTAGAAAAGTTTGGTTTTCAATTAGATTTCTGATCATTATAGTATTCTCTATTGAGACATAAAAAAAAAAAGAAAACAGGAAAAATTAAAGTGTATACTACATTTTTTGTATCGTTATCAAATGATTGGGCATGTATTTATTCTATTTTATATATATATTTTTTTTTTCCTGTTCACAATGTCAGTTTGCACGATAATGATAAATCTTACGTTATACAAGGCATTTAAAGTTAACTACATCGTACGAAAAGGAAAACGAAACAAAACTAGAAACATATTCCAGACTGGTGCATGTTACCATGACAGAAAACCCAATACAGTACCTGATAGAATAAGCTAATCTTTTAGAGTGAGACGTAGATATGTCATGTTATTATTGTACCTCCATTAATTGTTATTTATTACATTTTACATTCAGTACTACTTCAGATGATCATACATTACACTGAATTACGCAATAACGTAGTCACTACAAGCACAGTATGAAACCATGTAAAGATAGAATTAATTTAATCTGCACATGCTAGAGATTTTACCATATATTTATTGCATAGATTTCTACATCTTTATACGAAATAATTTGTTAAACGTATCATTTGAAATCATTTTCACAGAAATGATTCTGCCTTATGTTAAAACAATGTTGCTATTAATACAGATTTTTTATATAGTACATATTCCACAGCTATACTTCTCTAAGTATAAATCATGATTTACTTATTTTTTTTATTATTGAAACTTAAACTAATAGACCATTACAGAACTTTATGATTTGAGTAGTTACAAGATCTGATACAGGTTTATAAAATAAATAATATATTACAATCATGTTTTTAGAATCTCAATTCATGCATATACGATTGTAGCTATTTGTTCTTGATAATTTTACAACAAATTTCATTTGTTGCAAACACATTTCACAGATAAAATGCTTGTTTTGTGATTATTTATTTGAATAATTTGTTTTCCATTTGTTATCATATTTAACGCATACCTGTTACATTTTACGTTACTGACGTATAGTACGATACTTTTATATTTGTTGAAGGTATTTGTTATACACTTCCTAGAGTTAAATGGGAAATGAGAATTCATATACTGTATAATCAATAGGCAACTAATAATTGATCACTCGTGGGTTTGTTTTTCCTTTGCATCAAACTCTTAAAATATTTCAAAATATCTTTTGCACTGTATGTATATGTTAATTATTAAGCTTGTACAATTTAATTGTATTGACAGAATTTCTTAAATTCTAAGAAGGACGGTATTATTGTTTTTATGAAGAAAAGAAAAGAGAAAAAAAGAAAGTATAGTTCAAAAACGTTGATATAAACTATAAACAATGGATACAAAAATAAGTAACGTGACGACAAACATTATATATTTTATTTCTTTAAAAATTACGTGCTCTTTTTTTTATTGTGTATACGAATTCTAAGCATTGATTTTATAGATGTAGTAGAAACAAGAAAATTAATTTAGGCTTATAAACTATTTTGATCGTTTTATTTTTAGCAGCATAATGTACTATATTTAAGTGCGATATTGTTTTGACTGCTATGGATATAATTCTAGTATGAACAATTTTACATTTATTTTATTCCTTGTATAAAAATCTTCCATTTTTTTAAGAACATTTACTGAATTTAGAACAAAGGAAAATTATCGGCGTTAAATTGATGAAACCATACCATCATTTTTTCAACTGATTGTGTGGATGTGATAAGACTTTGTAAAAAAGAAAAAAAGAAAAAAATAGAGTCGCCGTGCTGAGTGTTAGCTAAGTGTTTTATGAACTCGAAGAAATGAATTATAATTACAGTATTGAAGTACAAAGCAATAAACATCTTATCTTTAGACTGCAAATAGAAGAAACAAGTATTGTAAATGTCACAATTAGAGTATAACAAGTCGTATTAAAATATACTTGGAATTGAGGCTATTTTAAATCATAAATTTTTAGAACATGTTCATCTCATAAATCATTCGAACTGTAAAAAAAAACTAACGTTTTATTAATCGGTTTTTATGAATCATATCTACTTGTATGTTTTATCACGCTAAGCAATATTTCAAGCACATAGTCCAGCACTTTTCATTAACGCATCAAATTTCGTAAATCGAAATCTCGTAGCTTTACTACATTGTAAGCAGAGTAGCAATACCTCGTTCCATTTGCAATAGCGTTTCGAGATGAAACAATCCAATAGTATTGGCCATACGCGAATAAAAGTATTAATGATATTGATATTGTACGGCGACTCTAGTCAAGGAAATATACCTCCATAATTTCACCACCCTTGTTTGTACAGGGAAGGTACTTTATATTACTTAATTTTAACTTAACCTCAGTACCTATTACGCAACATTATAATTTAGATTTACACAATTTACCTCAGAAAACATATATTCTCACGTATGTGAGTAGGTGTAGCCAAGACATTATACTTTATTTTATACGAGATATATATATGGAAACGAAGAAACTCGGTAAATTGAAGTTTGTATTATTATCGTTAATTATAGTAATTATCATATATTAAAAAAAATTTATTAATTTATTTTTCACAAACCCTTATCATTTTCTTTTTTTACTGACATCTACATCATTAATCTATCGCGATAATTATGCTGTTTTTTTAGGGTGCAGTTACTTTGTAAATATTTTTACCTATAATTGTGTATATATATATAAATATATATATATATATATAAATTATCTGCAGAAAATATTACAAAATATATATTTTAATATATTATGTATAATAGATTACGTCAAATTATAATCTTATTGTTTAAAGTATTAAAATTAAAATGATACACAAAATATTTAATGATATTGTTGACTATTCTGAGTGCAGTATCTTGTTGTAACCAATGATTGAATAAAATTAAGAAAGTGTATCAATGTTGCTTCTCTTAAAAAATAAGAAATAATAACCTTTACCCGAACGATTTAGTAATTATTAAATAATGTAAAAGATGCAGTAAGGACACGTAAATAAATGCATTAATGAATAACTTTATTATCAAAGAATTAATAACAATTGATTAAAAAGAGTAATACTATTAATTTAATTTTATTTGGCAGTTAGTGCCGTTAGCCTATGCATTTTATTGTATGATTTTTTTCAAAATTAGGCTTAATTTCATGTTATAAATCTATCGATTTGCTTGTGTTTGGCATTTTAGAAATATTTTCTAGCTTAATTTATATTATTTGTACTTGATTTAATACATTGTATAATTCGAATCATCTAATATTCTAAACTTACGTAACCGTATTATTTGCTTGGAATAAAAAGATTTCTGCGCGCAAGTCACGGCTCTTAAAAATTATGTATTGGAATACGCTGGATATAAAAAAAAGAAACGAACGAAAATCCTTTTTCTATGTTTCTATAAATCTTATTAGATTTTTAACAATTTTATTTATGTTTCCAGTCTTGAAGAAATGCGGTATATAAAAAGCATTCTTGGCGGTATACATAATTCTCTAAAATATTTATCCAAACAATTTTACAAGCTATAATGTATTAAGTTTAGGCATGTGAATATCTAGTTCCATGATTTGTTTAACCTTTCTTTCTAACTTCTCGATATACGTCTCTCTTATACGTCAAAACTTGACTAGCAACCTTAAGGTGCAAAAATTTCATACCTCAATCTATGATAAAATTAAGTACATTAATTCCTACTTTATCACATTTGCAATAGGCTTATACATGAAATCTTCGTATTCCATTCGATCAATTCTATAAACTTGACTAACAATATTTGTTAGCAGGTAAAATACAAGTAAAGTGTATAACATACAATAGAGTATGTAATTTGCATAGATTACTAGGCACAAGGTGAAACGCTCCAAAAGTTATTTATACAAATCATTGTAAGCTTTTTTAATATTTGATATTGGCAATGTGCTGCCAAAATTCATAGAACTAAGGAATGTGGAAATATCTTCATGCTTGCGTAATCGTCTAGAACCTAGATAAAAATGATTAAAATAATAAAATCTGAAATTATATAATGTAGTTCTGAATGAATTTATATAATTATTTACCTCTTTTACAACATCTTTTGTAAGTTTTGGATACACATAAGCGAAGCCAGTACTTAATAGTTTTCTTGGATCTAAATACAAATGTTTGTTGTAAAGAAGTTCTTGGTCTATATATGGAGACAAAGGACTATTTTCCACTCCATCTTTATTGCAAGCGTCCGCCCATGGTCCCATGTGCTTGTCGTTCACTTCTTCGACTACAGAACTCATGTCTGCCTAGGATACAGAATAAAAAATTAACTTTAAACTTATTTATTGTAAATAACTAATCTCTTATTGGAATCCGTATTATTGGTATTTATATAAAGGATGAAATGAAAAGCAAATATGCGATACGTACACACATATTTATACGTACTCGCACATATAAAAGTGCATAAACATTCATTATAAAGTATATAAGAAATAATATAATAACCCTTTCTTCGTACTTTAGCCAATGTGGATAATGCGGTACCCCAATAATCGTGGTTGATGTTAAATAATTCTGAAACTATAGCGCTAATCGATCCTTGAGTCGAATCACCTTCGTCGACAACGTTGTATATTTGGCCTACAGTTTCTGGTTTATTTACTACATGCCAAACAGCTCTGGCTACATCTCTCACGTGGACCGTGTTCATATGAAGGTCTGGTCCCCAAAGTAATTTCATCATTTCTCCTAAATGTTTGTAAACTGCTCCTACCACCAGACGTGGTGCTACAAAGGAATAGCTCTTTTACTTACAACAACGCTAACATACTATTGGACAAAATTAAAGAAATACATTACCTAAGCCACTTCTATCTCCGTGACCGTACACGATAGCTGGTCTGAGTATCGTGTACTTTAAATTCGGTATATTTTTTAGATCATTTTCCACTTGAAATTTATATTTTGCGACGTATGTCCATGGCTCGCTGGTATCGTCTTCTTTGTGAGAATTCTATAACAATTGTAAGGCTGGTTAATTTTTTAACAGAGAAATTTGAAATAAACGAACATACCTTTTCGGAAGCATTAAGATTACCAGAAGATATTTCTACATAACGATCGACCTGTAGCTTTGCCGCTTGCTGAGCACAGTTCATGCTTAACTTATAAATTCCTTCTTTATACACAGGATCTGTTTGACCACTCTTTGTTTCTCCAGCACAATTGATCACATAATCAATCGTATCATCCGATAAAAATGCATTTTGACAAGACACTATAGATAATAAAATTTACTGTAAATTGCGTTAACGATAAACATAGCGAGATTTAATTCATGGTATATCAAATTACCTGCATTGATCAAATTAGCGCTTTTAAACTCAAGCAAAGGATGCTCGAACATTTGCTGGTGTTTAGCATTAAGCCAAGCAGTTTGTGGGGGTACTTTGTCTACGACACGTACAAACGACACGAGATCATTATCCAACAGATACTCCACGAGATTACGTCCTATGAAACCGCATCCTGTTTCGGCGATAAAATGGTTTTTGTCCTTTCAGTTTTATCGCATCCGTTGTATTATCGTACAAAATGGGCTATGCTATACTCACCTCCTAAAATTATGACTCTCGGTTTTCTATCGGAACCAGACGTTGCCATAATTACTTTTAAATAATCATTTAAAATCAGCCGATTATTTCGTCGTCCGTCTGGCAAGCTTCAATTAAAATAAACAACACCCTAAATCGCCGTGACACTTCATAAAAATATCTGGCTGCGATAGTATTATCGGAGCACTGTCACTTTTTCCTTAACCTTAAAAACTTTGCGCAAAGGAACGTGCTACCAGAGCCGCGTTCCGAAATCTTTCGTTAGTCATCGGCGTTGCATGTAGTTTTCGCCTACTACAAGTGACTATATACAAGCTATAAGTCACAGAAGAAAAGAATCACGAGATATCTTTAAAAGACCACTCTTTAACTTGTTTCAATCGACTCTAATGCGATCCGCGATCAAATACAGTTCAAATATTCCAAATAGCGTACCGTCATATAACAAGTAACATCCAATACTAATACCAACCACTAGTGAACAAAGAACGAAGAAGCATCGCACCGAAGACAAGATTACGACCGTACAAATTCAACTACACTCAACCAGAGGTACAAACGTAGATGTAGATCAATGGTGGCTACCATTGGACTATAGCAAAGCTATTAAAGATGGCGTCATCGGCGTATAACGTTTTGTATAAACAAAAACAACACAGACACTGTGGGCGCTCAGCACCCTGGACGAGTCAATGGCAATGACGCAGTAACCCCTGCAACTCTCTTCGGTAGGGGTGGAATAACGAAATCGTTATTAAACACAACAAAACTTTATTTCTATCGGCAGACCTTCCACGTGTCTCAGTTTTTACTTTCTGAATATTTTTCTACCCTCTTCAATTCTCCCGCGCGTCAATTGTTTCTCCCCACTATTCGGGGAATCGTAAAGGTCGATCCCCACAACACGAGTATCAGTGGCGCCATCGGTGGGAAAATACCCAAGTTTGTAGTGATAATAGTTCCTCACCGTTTTTGTAAGATGGCCCCACCAGCTGTCATGGTTTTCGCCATCTATCGGGAAAACGCTCAAGTTTGTCCTCTAATAGTTCCTATTTGTACTAATAGATGGCGTTATTTTGATTTTATTGCAGTCGCCATCTAGCGTCAAAGATACAAACTAACTTTACTACAAACTTGGACGTTTTCCCACCGATGGCGCCACTAGAACTAAACCTCTCTTTAGTAGTGGCGTCATCTAGCAGAAACAGTGAGAACTATTTTCACCACAAACTTGGACGTTTTCTCATCGATGGCGCCACTGCTAAAGCAAAGTAGTTGGCCCTAAAATGTACTCAAGAAAATCAAACCCCAAATTTTTATCGATAGTTGTAATGTCATTTTTTTTTTCAACAATGCATCTGTTCCAAACGAGTAATATTAATAACACACAAAAATGACCGAAAATACGGAATATTCGTCGATACTGTAAATTCTACACGAGGAAACGACCATTGTGGCCGTGTCGAATCTTTCCAAGCCGGAAGATTTCGTCCCTTTCAACCTCCCACAAAGTATGCGCTGTTAAATCCCCACCTTAAAGAAGGAAAACGGTCCAATCGAATGTCCGCATCGCAAGTCGCAACCTTAAAGCCCTACCAGCGGCATCGTCGGCAATCTCTTTGGAGATCGCGGGCCCCCGGTCGTCGCCATATTAGTAGTACGCGATTTTCACGCGAATTGCGGCTACATACAACTATACACCACAAACCACACCGTTGAATGTGGTGCGTGGTGCCAGTAAAAAGACGAAAAATCGGTTCTGTGATTCGATGCAAAGATAAGAGCAAGATTCGAGAAAGAAGTGGAACGATTTATTCGCGAGTACGGTAACTCCATTAGCGATCGAGTCGTTTTCTTTCGTGTCGGATGTTGAAAACTAAAGATAAATAAGGAGAAAGAGGGAAGGAACGGATCGGATTGTCGGATGGTTGACGGTAGCGTATCAAACGGATCGATCGACGATCGAAGACGTAAGCTTATTCCCGTGGTAAATGACAACGACAACTGGAATGGGCCACTCGGTGTTACGGCACTGCGACTTGTGAAATGCGACGGGCCAGCAGCGAGAGAAACGGGGGCCCGTGCCCCGACTGAGCGCATTAGCTCTCGGGAGTGCGATCGAGTTCGACATCGCCAGTTGCCGGTATCCTTGGGATACTCTCGTAACGAAAAAACAAGTGTCCGAGGCAAACCTTTAGCCAGGTGACTCGAGGCAAGAGTCTCTCCGTTCTCTGATTCGACGCTATCGCTATGCTCGCAGGCGTAGTCGTCCTTTGGTCGTGTTCGTCCATCTCGTCCACCTCGTCTCGAGCGTCGCTGACAGATGGGACGTAGACATACCGAGAGATTGGTAGGAGCTGACCCGTAACGTGACAACTAACAATCTTTAATACCGCAACGGAAGCCAACGCTGTGCGCGAGTACGCACCGTCGAGGATTCGTTCCACGCGTACCTACAGTTTAACGGAAAGAGAGTACCGTCGCGATTTCGCGAATGCTCTCAAGACAGAACACGTCTTATTGTTAGAGAAATGCACGACAGTGTCGACGAACACGCACGGAAGAGTCGAAGCAGATTTTGGACGGCTCGCCTGTCGGACGATAAGGTAAGACGCGGGCTATCGGACCGGCTAGCTCTGAAGTATTAAGTCCGGTCTTAACACACACACACACACACACACAAATCACACATACACCCGCCCGCGCGCTAAGAAGAGAAAAGAAAGAGTGTAGAAGAGCGAGAGAGGGACCGAACGCTGACCCACATTTCAACGGGTCGAACGAAGCAACCCGGCACGAAGAAGAAACCACGTCGGTGGACTTTCTGAAATGGGACACGGCACAGCCTGGAGCTAAATTAGCCGCGATGTCCAATAAGAGTAAGTCCCAACCGCCGCAGCAGCAGCAGCAGCAGCAGCAGCAGCAGCAGCAGCAACAGCAGCAGCATCCGTTGCACGTGATCAAATCAACGACAGTGGAACAAGTGCCACCGCGATATCAGCCACCGCCACAGCCGACCAGCGGTATCCTCAAGAATCATCCTCACTTCGGTCCAGCCACTTCCGTATCGACTTCGGTATCGACCAGTGTTCAAGGCCCAGCCGTGACCTTGAGTCATCATCCTCAAGCAACGCAGCAGCGATTGGTGCCGCAGCAGAAGGATGCCCAAAGCAAGTACTCGCCGAGGATAGAGCATCGACACCCTCCAACCGGTAACGCCGCTCTGACAGCGGCCGTTTCAAAAACGCAGCCGCACGGTTACCTACAGGCCAAGGTCGGCCAAGGTCAATACTTGCCACCTAACGGTCAGTATCCTCCCACGGTAAATACGGCGCAAACACCGCCGATTAGACAGAGGCTCACCGACGACGAGTTTCTCCGACTCGGGCCCGTGGAAATGCTCAAGTTCGTCCGCAAGACCGAGTCCGACATCGCGAGACTCGCCGCCGAGCAGAATCGACAGATACAGAGCTTGGTGAGTCGCGTGTTTTCATCGGTTTGTTTGTTTGTTCACTCGGTAAGAGTGGCTGCCGAGCGCTATTCATGTCCATGTCCGTGTTTCTTTCTGCTTCTTTTTCCCCCTGGACAGCGTGTAAATAGTTGCGACAACGATCGAATTCTTTCTTTCCTTCTTTCAAATGATTTCTCTATAAACTTGTATATATGTAGGTATACGATATAGGTACGACAATTTGGTCGGTAAACGCACCACTCGAGTATCGAACGTACAATATTTGATTACAGCTGAGCGAGTTGCGCGCGTTAAAGGAAGCAAACCAAAGATTAAGCGACGATAATCAAGAGCTACGAGATCTCTGTTGCTTTCTGGACGACGATCGTCAAAAGGGGCGAAAGTTGGCGAGAGAATGGCAAAGATTCGGAAGGTACACGGCGAGCGTTATGCGTCAGGAAGTTTCCGCGTACCAAAATAAATTGCGTCAGTTGGACAATAAGCAGCAGGAATTGATCAAGGATAATCTCGAGCTAAAAGAATTGTGCCTTTATCTGGACGAGGAACGAGGAGGCGGCGGTCAGAGAGACGACGGAGATGGTTCGAGTTCGAGTACCAATGCCGAAGAGACTGTTCCTCCGAGACCTAGGCACGCGTCTACGTTTAACGGTAATTTCTTCGAAGAGAAATCAACTTCGATAAATGACACTAATATCGCCGATCGAAGCTCCAGATTCGAAATCGTTTCACAGATCAAACGATGCAGTACGTAAGAAGTTTGGAGCAACGGGTCAAACAGCTCGAAGAAGACAAAAGTGTTCTACAAGCACGAGCGCAAGGTTGGGAACTACCGCCTGGCGAGATTTGGGACAATCCGAATAATTCCAGTGAAAATCCTCATTTGGGAGGCCGACCGGAAGCGGTGGTACGAGCTCTTCAGGTTCTCGAAGTTAGGGAACAGCTTGAAAGAGAAGGCGGCCATGACGGGGAGAAGGCTTTGGTCAGAGAAATGTGTAACGTAAGTTTTTCACTCTGTTACGTATAAAGCTGATATACAACGCGAAGACAGACGTAGATGGGAACGTTTGTTTTAGGTTGTCTGGCGAAAACTGGAGGAAGGCCCGCAAACCAGGCATTGATAATTCTATCGTAAGCTCAATTCGTCCAACGCTCGAGTCTCGAGTAAACGTTGTTACGCGAATCATTCGTTTGTTCGCGTAGTGTACCTAATAGTATTATAGATGATAGTAATTAACGGAAATGTTGTAAATTTGATAGATTTATACGCACGTACCTACGAATATTTCGATTTAAGAGTCAATTTGCCTAGTTTACACTATTTATATAAAGATCATGGGCGCCATTAGACTGCCCGCGTGAACTGTTAACAAACTTTATTTTTTATTATAAATTCGATATAATTTACTTTTGTAAAACCTGAACAATTCCTATCCTTCGATTATTCCAATTATAATAATTGGATTAGTTCGATACCAATCTATAATAAACCCTGCAGAACGAAATTTTACGATACAGTGAATCAGTCACTGGGTAACTTTATTTAAGTCATGTTTACAATACAATTCTCCACGTACTCAACAACATTAACAAACATGCATTCTTTTGTCTTCGCAATGCCATAATATAATACGTATCGTATTATGTGTATTTAATGCATGTAAAATTCACTTCGAATCGTCCCTGCCAATTTGTAATTTATCAAGTTACATTCTGGAATTGGCGATTTCTAGCTTTTATGCTATATTTATTACGCTTTAGCGTAAATTCGATGAATTGGTAAATCGCGCAAAAAATTGTCCTCTCGACAATACAGATTTTACATGCATCGTAAAATTACAAAGACAAAAGTTTTAGTTGCCTAAGTAACTATTTTAGTACCTTCAATTTCAACCAGATATTTCAATTCGGTGAGTGTGATGAATGTAAAATTGTCACGCTAAATTGTGCGATTAAAAGTAATCGTAGCGATCTCGCGAAAATTAACCCGTTCGATTATGAATCTACGACTGAAAATGGTTGTATTCTCT